ATTTATTAAGACAAGTAGAGTTATTTTTTTCATTAATGGTTTCCTTAACGAAATATTTTATGTCAAAGATTCGCCGAGTAAAAACTCGAGATAAAGTACACGGCAGCGTCTTGACAGTGACACTCATTCAGACAGTGACACTCATTTAGCGGATACTTTTATGTACTTGGCGTCGAGACGCTACCGCGTCTCTTGATATCGTGTTCACGACCAGCCGCGTCCAATGGATTAATACCTCGATTGCCTCTAGCTAATCGTTTCTCCAAATGTGTTCCCGGGCCACAAAATTGATAGCCTGGAATATGTAACTCGACGTGTATCACGCAATTTAATAATCCGCGCCCTGACATCGATTGCAATATATGTTTAACATCAACTGTTTTTTGACGACTGAGTAGTTTTGCTCCAGGAATGACTCTATCGCAAAGCAGTTGCAAACAAATCATGCAGTTCGTGCGACAATCTGTGACGATCAAAGTAACTAATTTCGATAGCAAGACTCAACAAGTGTCCAACAAAAAAATACGTAGACATGGAATAATGCTACCGGTTTCTATACGCGGTATTGTGTGCGGTCCTTCAAATTGTGGCAAGACAAACGTAGTGTTAAGCTTGCTTGAAAGCCCACACGGTGTACGCTTCGAGAACGTGTATGTGTATTCAAAGTCGTTGCAACAACCAAAGTATCAATACCTGGAAAACGTGCTTTCGTCAGTAGATGAAATTGGTTATTTTACTTTCTCTAATAATAACGATGTGATTCCACCGAGTAAAGCACTTTTATATTCTATTTTTATCTTTGATGATGTGGTATGTGACAAGCAGGATACGATACGAGAGTACTTTGCAATAGGTCGTCACGCAACCGTCGATTGTTTTTATCTCTGTCAGACGTATGCAAGGATACCAAAGCATCTTATACGTGACAATGCAAATCTAATAATTCTCTTTAAACAAGATGGTATCAATCTCAAGCATGTGTATAACGATCACGTGAACACGGATATGTCATACGAAAAGTTTTGTACGTCATGTCGCAAATGTTGGCAACACAAGTATGGATTTTTAGTAATTGACAAGGACAGTCCTCTAGATAGAGATCACTATAGAAAAGGATTTAACGAATTTGCAACACCGTCGAGTGATTAATCGTTGTTGAAACGTCGATTGAGCATCATCTTTTATCGAACAACATGGCTTCATCACACAACGAAAGCAATGAAAGTATAAATCGCGAAAAAGTAGCAAAAGAGATTGCAAAAACGAGTCAATCTATTCGTCAAAAACATCGCGCTTTAAAAACTGGTAAACTAGAAAAAGAAATTGCATTGAAAAGACAGTTCAAACTTATTATCAAACCCTTACAACAGATTGTCAAAAATATTGAAACTAATCCAAAGACGGACACATCGTTTCTCAAAGACACGTCACACGACATCCGGAAGAAGCGGAAACAAACGCAAGCAAATGAAACACTGTCCCCTACTCTACATCAGTCAAAGCGCGCACGATATAACACCGCAAAGCCAGTGATTACTTCTACTCCGACAAACGAACCGAACAGCAATTGACATGGGATTCTCCATCGATTGATACTATCGTCGATACTGATGTTACTGCCAACGAATCGTTTGAGTCGACTGTTCAACGTCAAATGCAAACAGTAGAGGGTCTTGAAATGTTTCAAAGTCACTTTGGTCCGTTGGCACAACAATATATGAGAGCTATCCTAAGTGGTAAGAAAGAGAGCAACATAGACTACGTTTACGGTGTGTATTTCGACAACGAAAGAATGATGCTTGGTGATAAACGTTTTGACGTGGATGAAGAGGATAATATAATCATAGACGGTATACGATTCACAGCAACACAAGGATTGTACGAGTTGATTTTCATGAAATGTCCTAGGAGCGAATTATATACTGAACAAGATAAACAAAGATATAAAAACATACTGGAACTGAAAAATGCTCACAGAAAACATCATAACAAACTCGGTGCGATACTGGGTAATAAAGGATATAAGTACAAATACATAATTGCGCCTTTAATATCGAGTGTGCATACCAAGCAGGGGAAAGGTATAAACATACCGCGTGCTATGATGCTAAGCGATCGGAAGATCCAATATGAGCACTGGGATCCCAATGAACTTGTCGATCGTTTGCGATTGCTAAACGCATCTCGTCAGGCGGGCAATAATGCTCACGATAACGAAATCCTGTCGATCATCGAGGAACTGCGCGAAGCAGGTCTCATTATAAATTAAGTAGCGCACCGGTATTAGAATCAGTTGTGTGCGAGTCATCATGCCGATTAACAAATCCGGGATATCGCTTGAAACACATGGAGCGTCAATACATTACGAGAGAGAGGCGCTACTGCGAAAGTATGTGCGTAATACCGCTCTCTGTTTTGTCAGCTCCGGCTACGATGCAAGGTCACGCAAGATACTACATGTAGTGCAACCCGATACCGACACTGACGCCGCCAACAAACGATATGTAGATATGTGTGTTACGAGCGTGAAAGAATGGCAGGAGACACGCGAGAAAAAACTTATTGCATTACAACAGGATGTGCAAACGTTGCGCAACGCTATAAAACAACTTCAGAATATGTTTCAATATCTATCAACTCAAAGTAAAATAGCTGCTACAACAAAGTAGACGTACAGTAAGACAACTATGGCCATGAATCATGTCACAATCAAAAAACAACATCTTGTAGAGGAATTGCACGCTCCGGCAAGACGAAATTTTCCTCGTAGACGCGTTATTGTACGCGAATACGATGATCTCTGGCAAGCGGATGTGGTAGAAATGCGTCCGTATTCGCGCTTCAACAAAGGCTACCACTACATACTTACGGTTATCGATGTGCTGAGCAAGTATGCGTGGGCCATACCGCTTAAGAGTAAAAGTAGACGCGAAGTTGCCAAAGCTTTTGCAGGAATATTTTGAGATAACAAACGATATCCAAACAATTTGCAAACTGATCGCGGAAAGGAATTTTACAACACAGATGTACAGGCATTGATAAAAAAGCATAGCATCAATCATTATTCTACATATTCGGTTATGAAGGCCTCGATTGTGGAACGATTCAACCGTACGTTGAAGAACGACATGTGGAAACAATTTACACTTAACGGAACCTACAAATGGATCGACATACTACCGCGTCTCCTTGTGGAGTACAACGCGAGAAAACATCGAACTATCGATATGCGACCTATCGATGTTACTCCTGCAATCGCTGATAAACTCTTAACCACTGTGTACAGCAACGTAAAAATCGCTGGACCAGCACGATTCAAAGTGGGCGATCCGGTACGCATAAGCAAATTTAAAACACTATTCGACAAAGGATATACACCAAATTGGACAACTGAAGTATTTAAAATCGGTAAAATACAGACGACTTATTCCGTGACGTATCTGCTTGAGGATTCACGTGGACAATCTGTTGCTGGAGGATTCTACAAACACGAACTGCATCGCGTTGCAAATCCAGACGTTTATCTCGTTGAAAAAGTATTGCGCAAGAAAGATGACAAAGTTTATGTGAAGTGGCTGGGATTAGACAAGTCGTACAACTCTTGGATAGATAAAACTAATGTATTGTAAACACATGCATTAGTTTATACATAGTTTTGCAGTTATAAGTATTTCTACAATATATACAATATTACATACACTAATTTACAATATACATATAATATACTATACATTATACGTGTTTTTTTCTTATGGTATTTTGTAATGTCCCCATGGCAACGTTTCAGTAGAATCGAGTACGATATATTGCTTATCGTCGTACGGGCTTAGAGCAAGTTTTGATTCAGACACAGTGTATACTTCGTGTAACTTTGATCGTATACACGACTGTCGACGCATCTTTTCGATTTCATCGTTTAAACACTGCTTGTAATCATCAAACGTTAATGTTCTCGCTACGACGCTACTCTTTACACCTTTGGCTTTTTTCATGTCTCTCTTTCCGTCTACCTTCAATGCATACATTTTTGCTCGAAGTCCGACGAATTCAGTCATTATCATTCCGTTATTTTTATCCTTCATCAATCCTGGAACCTTTTTGTTCGCGCGCAGTATACCATACACGTTATCAGTCGGATAATCACTTGTATCGAATCGTACGATATCACGTTTCATGACATCGTATACGTCTTCGCATTCGATGAAATAACTGAGACTGTCTGTGTCGGTGTACATAATTTTGCATTTATCTCGGTATAAAGATGCCATGTAATCGTGGTGAAATTCGTACAACTATGTCTTGGATATGTCTAATATACACATTCCTACGTAGATTGGTTTGTTGAATTTTACCTCGAGTTTGCGCAATTCAACTGCAATAAAATTTTCAAAAAAGACGCTTCGGCTATGAAAATTTGGTCGGGAGATCAGTGCTTTCACACCGTATCTTCCATCTCACTTTGTTAAGAGTTTTATATCTACATCCCAGATAGCACAGGATGTCCTATGGACGTTCGTTTTATGTCCATTTTATGGTCGCACGTCCNCGGACATGAATTAAACGTCCATCGTATGTCTGATTTCGGACATTCATTAATGACCAATATTTGGACGTCCATAGAATATTCGATATTCAGTCCATTTGCAGTTATAATTATAAAAAATATTAAGACTCTTACACATCTTTGAAAAGTGTTACATATTAAAAAAAGAAATTGTATATACATGTTAACTAATTATGACTGGCACATATATTGTAACAAAAGAAATTATTTATTTATTTATCACGTGTAAAAATCTTGAAATAAGAATATGAGCGCGTTCGGGAAGCGTGCTATCAGCTAACGCTATCGTATTATTCTTTGTTTTTGTCAAATGAACGATAAAGATAGAATGATGCGGTAGCGTTGATAGCGGCTGCGTTCGTTTTTTACTCGCAGCACTGAAAAATCTATAGTATAGTATGTGACATGAATCTATAGATTTTCAGTACTGCCAGTAAAAAATGAACGCAGCCAGCGTATTTTCTGAACGCGCCTTATAAAAACTGCTGAAAACAAACATCGGGCAGTACGCAGTGTTCTCAGTTTTGGCTCTCTTACAGTACGCTGAAGAGATGGAAAAGATGCGGACAAAAACAGCAAGTTCATACAGTTAGAACTCGCTACTGTTGTGCGCATCCACTCCACCGCTTTAGCATGCTGTAAGAAAGTTAAAACTGAGAACCTGCCAGTACGTTATTATCGCGTCCTAATGTTTCATACGTCTTTTGTCTCGGTTTCTTGTCGTCTCGTCTCATCGAGAAACCGACAACCGGCAATCATCTTATGATCTCGTCTACTTTTATACTTCTAAATAAAGTTTTTTCGTGTGCATTTGTTGCAGTAGAATACGAGGTAAGTAGACTTATAAAAATTGTACATATATATAGATGANGTAACTTTGATAGATTTTGATGAGAAAAGAAAGTTGAATACGAATGAAAGAGAAATCATTATTATGACACATTTGTAATACAATATAATCCACTGCCGCAGCTGTCTCCACGTTCATTGTCTTTACAACATGTTCTACGAACATTCTTCAGCATTTCGACAATGAAATGGATGAATTTCGGATCTTTCCAAATAACCTAACCTAACCTTAAAAAAAATGGATTAAATCTAAATAGATCTAATTTAAATCTAACAAGATAAAAAAATGGAAAACTAGATCTAATTAGATCCAAATTAGATCTAAATAGATATAAAGTAGATCTAAATAGATATAAGTAAATCTATTTAAATTTACACTTTATTTATCATTAGATCTACTTTAAATCTACTCAGATCTACTATATTAGATCTATTCAGATCTGCTTAGTTCTGTTTAGATCTGCTTAGATCTAATATAATAAATCTGAGTAAATCTACTATAGATCTAAAATAGATATACTGATAAATAAAGTGTAAATTTACATAGATCTATTTATATCTGTTTAGATCAACTTTATATCTATTTAGATCTAATTAGATCTATTTTTCCATTTTTTTTATCTCGTTAGATTTAAATTAGATTTATTTAGATTTAATCCATTTTTTCCAGGGTGAAAACAAAATATTTTAAAAATTAACTTTTTTTTCTTTAGATAATACAAAGTATTTCAAAGAAATTATTCGCCAGCAAAGTTTCTTTAAAACTCAATTGTGGCAGATGGCAGACGATTTAACACGTTCGTCGCCGCGTCACCCAGATCTGGGTGACGGGTATACTTCCGAAACTCAGCCGAATCGCGCTGGGCGACGAACGTGTTAAGAGAAGTAAAAAATGTTATAATGACTAATAATTTGATGCAAAATCAAGACAATGATCAGCAACAAAATAGAAGATNGATTTATTCTTCTTTTGAGCTATCATTGAGAACAGTGAAAGATATTGAAGAAGCTGTGGAACAATTTTTAGAAATTGAAGATAACTTTAAATGTTCGGTAATACATATGAATGCTCGAAATGAATTTTGTAAAATATTAATAACTATTGTAAAGTAATATATGGATTTTTGTTTCAGATTACAGAAACATGTAGAGTAGGAGGCACATCTCCTTATAATTTTATACAACAAAATTTGTGCCACTTGGTTAGCAATGAACTTGCACAACAATACAACTGGATAGGTGCAAAACAAAAAAGAAAATTTTGTAATCTTCGAATTGCTAATATGTTAGTAGGTAAATACATTAATTAATGATATTTTTGTAGTACTAATATATATTTAATTAAATTATTTTAAAAGAAGTGGCAAGGCAGTTGGAGTCAAAAGCACATTTACACACACCAACAACTGTGCTTTTGACTCCAACTGCCTTGCCACTTCTTTTAAAATAATTTGAATATCTGGAGTTATCTGTTTTTCTGATTGTATATTTAATTATATACATTTTATTATTAATTATATACATTAAT